ATGATAATTTTTGGAAAAATCTAAATAAAATCCAGCTGAAATACTTAAATTCAAATTAAAAGCTTATATTTTTTTAACAAATTCTTAATCAGGCCATAAGGCCTAATTTAGGATTTTTTAATCTTATTAAATGACTAAAATGTTCTTCTTTTATAAAAGAAAATTAATTATTTTATAAATAATTTAAAATGTTTAATTAAAATATTTTTAAAGATTTTAGTTATATACACATTTTAAACATGATAAAATTATTTATGTGTTTTGGTTTTAAAAAATAATTATAAGAGATGAGAGAACGAACACTTGGGAGGGCTAAAATAATCAAGTTTTTTTTTAATTAAAGAGTGCATTATAGTCATTTAATAACATTCATAAATCCCTAGAGGCTTTATGACCCAATTAGGAATTTGTGAAAAGTGTAAACCTAAAGTTGGATTTAGATATTTCAGTTGGATTTGATTAGAATTCTCCTATAATTTTATGGTTTAATAATCTTTGATTCTTTACTTTTAGTCTCAATTGGTTTTAGTTTCTTAAATTTCAAGCCATAGGTTTTGGTTCTTCAAGAAGCAAAATAGTCATAGTTTTTATTGAATTACAAGGATAATATTTTAAATCAAAAAAATTTAAGAACTAAAAACTATGATTTAAAATTTGAAAGACCAAATATTATATTAACAGGATTTTATTTATGATATCTAAACAAAATAGACTGCATGACACACATTTTAAATTTAAATATTATAATTATTTAAATATCATCACTAATATTCTTCTTTTTGCCAGTTCCCTTTTTGATTTGGCTGATTGTTTTTACTGCTCCTGGAAGTTTTTCTGTGCAAATCAAAGAAGTGGTACGCATGTTTTTGAAATTCACTTTTCTTTCCTCGTTATATACTTTTTTATTTTCCATCTATTTCATATTTAAGGTTATTTAAGATATAAATTCAATAATTATATGTTTGGCGTTGTTAAACTAATCTTAGTTAATATTACATACAAAAATTCATAACAATAAATTTGTATACACGAGAATGATCAATTTTAGAATATTATTGGCGTTTTCCTCTAAATAATTTAATTGAAAGAAAAGAAAATCATATGCTAATAATGTTTGTGTATGTGATAAAGCCTTTTCCAATCACTTGCTGCGGAAAGTAGTTAGCCAAAAATATAAACATGACATAAAGGAAAAAGAATAAGGCTTTACAAGAATTATCCTACTTTAGTTTCTTAACTTATATATTATACACAGCTTACTCAAAATTAGTATCCTAAAATTTCATATTTTTACACACGCATCTCACCACCAAGCTATCACGAAATTTATGAATGGAGCTTGCTAGAGAAACTCTTAATTATTTGAATATTTATAGTAACATTTAGGGACTGTTTCATTTCCTGTTTTCAAAACAGTTTTTTTTTCTTCTGAAAAGCAATAAAAAAAATTGTTTGAAAATGTGTGTTTGTTTATGTGCTTTGAAAAATAAGAAAAATATTAAAAATTGTTCAGGAAAAAAAAACATATGTTAGATGTCTTCTTATCTTCTTGTTCTGTAAAATTAGAAAATAAGTGGAGAAACATTATGGGCATGCTTGTTTTATTGTTTTGGAAACAATTTTTATTTTTAAAAATAAAAAAACTTGTCTGTTTGTTAATTTTTAACTAGGTGTTCTGCAAAACAAAAATAAAAATATATTTCAGAAAACAAAAAAACTCAACAATTTTTACAATTTTTTTTTGAATTTTTTGTATCATGTAGTTGTTTTTTTTTTAAACTAACCTTTTTAGACACTCTCCCATTCTATCTCTTATGCTTATCTGCATGTTTCTCAATCATCTATCTTTTTTGTCCATTGTCAATGCACTTTCCGCTCTGCCTTTCACTTCTCTAGTCGTTTTTCAAGTTGATTTTAAATACAATTATCCTGAAAAAAAAATTTTATTTTCAAATGCAAATTTTTGGAACAATTACCCAAACATGTTTTTTTAGTTTTATAAAACTTATTTTAAAAAATTTATAAAATTACTCTAAAAACGTAAAAATAAAATAGAAACAAACAAAGCCCATGTTTTTAATTAAGGACAATTATGCAAGTATAAAAATATTCTTTCATCTTTTATTTCACTGTTTTATACTCCTCCGGTCCTTAAAATATGACTTAATTATTGAGTTAATTTGATCCTAGATATAAGATCTATTTATCATATTTATCAGTTTTTCTAAATTACTCTTATTAATACTCCTTCAAGCATAATCAATTAAAAGAGGAAATGATGATTAAGAAAGATGATTATGGTATTTTAAGAAAAATATGTCATATTTCTTATAATTAATTACTTATTTAACTTCTTTAATCTAATTAAATTAATTAAATAGGTCTTATATTAAGAACAGAGAAGTATATGTTTTTCAAATTAATTATTCAAACAGATTTTTTTCCAAAGTTGTTTTGAAAGACTACTCTTCAAACTTGGTTTAAATAACATTAAAAAAAAAAAAGAATCAGAAAGCTCTTAAGCGCTCAATTAATCCACAAGAATTCCAGTATGTTATTTATTTCTCAATTCATTTCTTAATCTTTTTATACTCGAGAATTTGAACATTAACGAGGCCCCTTCCTAATTTTGCAAATTATGCTCAGCATTATACACTAACCTCCTTCACATTTTGTCTTAATTACATAGATCTCTCGTTTATTTTGAATACATACACTTACATCTAAATTATTAATATGCTAGTTTACCCTTCATCATAATGCTAATTTTCTACTTTTGCTGAAAATGTTTTGAAGAATTGATGGTTTTCTTTTCTTTTCCCTTTTTTTTCCTTTGAAAATAGTTATTTGTTTTGATATCTTTATCATATTGGACATAAACTTAAGTACTTTAGTAAATGCAGACATATAAAAGACTTGATGGAATATTGGTTAATTTTTTGATAAATATATACTCGACCAATTATATTTATAATATTTTAAATAAATTGTCTAATTTCTCCATCTTGTGGCATTTATATTATATAACGGACAAAATGCGTTTCAAATTTTATCCAATTTTTTAGACATCCTAATATTTTTCATAATTAATTTTAGTTAATTATCCTTTAACTAACCAAAATTTTATAAATTAAATAAAATTCCTTTTTGGACAATTTCCTTAATTTCACCACAATTGCAACAAATATGTCCAGGACATTTATTCCATTTGCCATGAATTTCTAAGAATTTTATGAATTTTTGGGCATATTTTTTAAAAATGCTTATCCTCACGGACCCAGAACTTTTTAAAATTATGCTTTTGCCTCAATTAGAAATGAGACTATTAACGATTCATAATATTACCTGAAATCCATAATTTCTAGGATAATTAGACCTCCAGCCTTGCCCATCAGCAGATTTATTAGGCTTGGGAGCTGGGATTGATTTGTTTTAATTTTTGGAATTATGGTTAGGAAATTGTGGACAATTTCCTAACGTGTACGTAATTAAATTTCATCATTAATTCCCAACCAATAAGTAACTCTTCCAAAATCTATTCTCCTCATAAAATAATTTCTGCAGTTTGTTTTGTCATCTCAAAATTTAATCCCAAATTATTTATCCTTTAATTTTTTCGAAATTACAATTTTAAAGCTAAAAAAATTTTCAAAATAAAATATTCCATTTCCTTGGGTAAAATTCTCTTAGTAAATTTATTAATTCTCACAATAATTATTTCGGACTTTTATGTAATTTTAGTTTATTATATAATTTGCCTAAATATTACCGAATCAGCCAAAAATAGCCCCTTTATTCCCACAAATTCCTTTTTGAGGTATTCTCTTTATTTATGCCTCTCTAAAGCCTCCATTTTTTTTTAAAACCTCTTTACTATTTTTCTTGAGTTTATGATATTTTGTGAATTTCAGGAAAACTTTTCATGATTACTTTTTTTTAGGCTGAAAACTTTTTAAAACTATACTTTTATCCCAATTTGACATTTCTATATGTTTCTCTATAATGTATTTGAAATAAATTAAAACCCAAAAACAGGTTAAAGATGGTGTTGGTAACTTTTATGACGTTTGGTAATAATTTTTTAATAAATCTTAGAATTTGAATATGTAGGCAAAAGTACGTACGAATCTTAATTTTATGTCATTTTCATTTAAGTCATGTGAGTCTACGCTCTACAAAATTTCTTATTTGGTCAAGATTTTCCTCATTCTTCGCAATCTTAATTTAAAACAGTATATTTGTAAATTTATAGTCAATTAATTAACCAATTAAAAAATTTTGACCATAAAAAGTTTACTTATATGTAAAATGAATCTTTTTCATACATTGTGATAATTCATTTAATATTTTGAGAAATATTCCAAAATTAAAATAAAATTAATAAGGGTTAATAATTTTGAGTCCTTTAAATTTGTTATGATTTTAATTTTAGTCCTTCTAGTTTCAACTTTTAGTCGTTTAAATGTGAGTTGCATGGGAACAAATTTACCAAAAGAGATATAATCATAATCTATAGGTTGACATTAAAAATATAAAATCACAATTTGTAGATTGACATTAAAAATAAAAAACATATGTTTTTAAAAATTATATAGTTAGTCCGCTAACCCATCAGGAGAACACTAACCTGCTAGGTTTGACCCACGGGTTTGCTTGTATCCTGAACTCTTTTAATTAGGAGGCATTTATTAAATATTGATATTGGAAATTAAGTTGGTCCAAAAAGATAGTATGCATACAATTTAAATATAATACAATTTTATTTTACGACATTTTTGTGTTTGCAATACTGTAATTCGTTTATTACTTATCTACTTATATAGCTAATTATTAATTAAAATTTGGATCCCAGAACACTAACAAAAGAGAATGCAAATGGTTGGGCATTGACTACACCAGAGATTTCATTACATATTTGTAAAACATTATATATCACCATAGCTTTTCACATTCTTAATTACTATTTTTGGAATCCTAATTTAATGTCTTGTCCATTTTAGATGGCATGCCCTGGGGAAGGTATTTTAACAGATCTTGCCAAGAGATTGGTAGATAAAACCATAAAGGAAGTTAGTTACTTTCGTCATTTCGAGACTCATGATCAGGAGTTTGACGAGGACAATCAACTTTTGTGTAGAAGATTAGAGAAAGTTCGAAAGGATATTGATGACGCCAACATTAATGAGCATGAAGTTGAAGGTGAATTTCAAGATTGGATAAAGAAAGCAGATAATCTAATTCAAATGAATGCTGAAATTAGGCAGACAATGTTTGATAGCTGGTGTTTTCTTAGGAAATATCGACAAGGTAAGAGACTGGCACAGAGGGCGCAAGTCATTAAAGGTCACATCCAAAAATATAAAAACTTTGAAAGAGAAGCTCGTCCAAGTAAACTTCCAGGTATGAAGTACTATGCTTCAAAAGACTTCATTGATTTTGAGAGCAGGAAAACAAAATTCAAGGAACTTGTGGAAGCTTTAAAAGATGGAAATCATTACATGGTTGGATTGCAAGGGATGGGGGGAAGCGGGTAAAACCACATTGGCAACACAAGTGGAAAGCAAGTTGAAGAATCCAAAGCATTTGAGAAAGTCATCTTTGTTGTTGTGTCTAATCCTCCAGATGTCAACAAGATTCGAGGCGACATTGCAAGGCAATTAGTTTTGGATTTAGATAAAAGAGTTGAAGCAGATCACTCAAAGCTTTTGTGGTCTAAAATTTATGATTACAAAAAAAAATTACTTATAATATTAGATGATGTGTGGGAGAAGTTAGACCTCACCGAAATTGGGATTCCATCTAGACCTGATCACAAGAATTGCTATGTTTTGATAACTACCCGCCATTCAAAAGTTTGTGAAGCAATGAGATGCCACCAAACAGTTCGCCTACACATGTTGGCTGATGAGGATGCATTGACACTTTTTCTATCTCATGCTAGAAGTAATGATTCTGAGGGTCTTGCACACGAGTTTGTGAAGGAGTGTGGAGGATTGCCAGTTGCAATTGTAGCATTAGCTGGAGCATTAAGAAATTGGCCTGCAGGTGAATGGAATGTGGCTTTGACAGCCTTACGAAATTCTAAGCAATTTGTTGATATTGATGAAGATTTAGTGACTATTTATAGATGCTTGAAATTAAGCTATGATCATTTAAATGATGAGAAGGCTCAAAGGCTTTTTTTATTGTGTTCTATTTTCCCAGAAGACTATGAAATTCCTATAAACCTTATTATTAGACTTGGTATAGGGTTAGGAATTTTTGGCGAGCCTGACGAATACTGTGCATCAAGAAGTCGAGTAGTTGCAGTAAAAAATAAACTCATAGCTTCTTCTTTGCTATTGAAGGTTGAGGGAAAAGAATGTGTAAAAATGCATGACTTGGTTCGTGAGGTAGCCCAGTGGATAGCAAAAGAAGATATTCAGGTGATTACAGATTCAACAATGACTTTAAAAGCCAACAAGCGATTTGTGTTTTGGAGTGCTGATGATTTTCCTGATCAACTTGGTGATGCAAAACTTGAAATTTTACTTCTTTGGATAACTGGAAATGCTCTAGTGAAAGATCCAAATGCATTCTTTGCAGGAATGTCAAGGCTCAAAATTCTGTCTTTACTCAGTGGATATGGTAGAAAAGTTCCCACTCCATCACTGTCACAATCACTTCTTTCCACTCCATCACTGTCACAATCACTTCTTTCATTGAAGAATATTCACACTATTATCTTGGATGGTTGGGAATTAGGTGACATCTCTGTTTTGAAGAATCTTCAAAGTCTTGTGACGCTTGAATTGAAAAATTGTTTAATTATTGAATTGCCCAAAGATATCAAGGAGCTACAGAAGTTGAGATGGTTGGGATTAAGGAAGTGTGAAATTCAAAAGAATAACCCTTTTCAAGTGATTGAAAGATGCTCACAATTGAAAGAATTGTATTTTGTCAGCAATTACAATGTCAAAGACTGGAAGCCAGAGGATGAAAAAGAAATTGAAGATGAAATTGCTTCTGATATATCTCCTTCTACATTGCAATTTTTTTTATTGCTTGTGATGTCTTGAAAGGCTTGACTCATGATGATAATGGCTTACCAAAATGCTTCAATACAGATCATATGAAACATTTACTATCAAAAGCCATGTTTAAGTACCTTGTGGAAAGATCAGAAGTTCTTGAGCTGGGAAATTTAGGACAAACAGGATGGAAAAGTCTTGTCCCTGACATTATTCCTGTGGAAGATGAAGGCATGGATAATTTAATCAAGCTTTACTTGTATGAATGGACTGACATCGAGTGCCTTATTGATAGTAATCAGCGTCACAATTGTAACATGACAGTCTTCTTGAACTTGATTGAGTTGCATCTGGATAATGTGGATGTGAAAGAATTATGTTGGGGTGCTACGCCTTCAGGCTTTCTTGAGAAGTTACAGATTTTAAAGTTAAAGGGTTGTAGGAAACTGCAAAACATATTCTTAGATGAAACTCTCAAACTTCCTCATTTGAGGGTATTGAAATTGAAAGATTGCACAATGTTCCAACTAGCAATTTTCAAACCCTCTATTGCTCAAAGTCTTGGGCAATTGGAAGAATTAGTAGTTGAAGGTTTTGCAGAATTGAAAAGCTTAATCGCAGATAAGAGTTCAGAAGAAGAAATGGGGGTTGTTCATGATCAAAAAGGTGATGGCTCATTGTTTCCGGCATTAAAGTCTCTTCAAATTGCAGAATGTGGCAAATTAGAAAAGGTATCTTCATTCCTTCTAGCTGGAGACCTTCCCAATTTGACAGATTTATATATAGATGATTGCGCAGAGCTAAAATACATATTCAGTGAATATAGAGGTCAAGTTGTGCAACAGGAAATCAAAATGCTCCCTTCGCTAGCAGAAGTGAGACTTTTTCGAGTACCAAGTTTCATTAACATATTTCAAAAATGCAAGAGATATGTGCTAAGGCCACCGCCTCAAGTTTCGAAAGAAGATTCAAAGGAGAGACCTAAGAACTTTAAGATGAGTTCATTCTCGTGGGCTCATAGGTGTTGTTTTTTGGGCCCAACTACAGATACTAATATTGGAGTTTCTAACGTCACTCTGCTAAAAGAGCCAGGTATGCTACTTTAGTCTTGCTCTTTTTGTTCAAAGGTGTTATTCTATTAATTAAACTTCCATTTTAGCATATCGTATATGAACGGTTTGTATTCTCTCTTTTTTTCCCCTTTTATTTACATATATTTTCATGTTTTTGTGTTATTATAATTTTATGTATGGTTTCCTTAGTGTTTAGTTTTGATAAAGTGCACCTTTACAGTAATTTAATCAATATTTTTTTGACCAGCGTAATTTAATCAATATTGTCTTTATCACAAAATTTAGTTAATATTTAACATCAATTTTTCTTAAAAAAAAGTAGTCTATATTTAACTCCTTGGATGTTGTGGGGCTACCTGCGTCCTTTCTGAATGGGGGAAAAGAAATTCCGCTTGTTTAAATCAGTTTTCTTTTGATATTTAAAATGCTCATAGTCTCAACTTAATATTCATTATTTTGGACTATTTATATTTGTTTGATGCATATTGGTATACCAATATTTCATATTCTCGATTTAAAATTTGAGATCTATTTTTGTATCTCAGAAATTTCAATAAACTGACGTGATATTTTAATTACACTAAATTTAATGTCAATTTGTCTAACATTAATCTTTTTATTGCAGTAAAAATTAAAGACAAAGGTAAAATACTCACACGCACGCACGAATAGTGATAATTGGTAGCATATGATTAACATGAGCAGGAATTTTGGTTAATTCAATGTTTTATTATTTTTTTATTTTTTATTTTTCTATTATTTGACTAGTATCAGGGGCATGGAAGTTATTAGTTGAATAACTTATAAATCACATTTTATTTTTTAAGGCATGTCGATCTAATAACACAGGGGAGATGTGGTAATATAACTATTGCCAATTGATTGGTTTTATTGAAAGTGTGACATGGCACTTCTAATGTGATGACGAAGTAAGTGAATCTGATGTTTAGAGAAACTGTGAGAGAGAAAAAATGATAAGTCATGTTTGTTTTTACTTGTTTGTTCTTTTCTTTTAATTTATATGAGAGTCATGATAGGCCATATTTATAGTCTTTTTTTCTTTATACATATTTTTAATTTTTTATGTTGTTATAATTTTATGCATCGGTTCACAGTATTAAGTTTTGATAAAAACAGTCATTTAAATAATATTTTCTTTAGAAAAATTTAATTGATATTTAATATTAATTTTTCTCAAAAAATTAGTCTATATTTAAGAACAGATTTTGACCCAATTAATGATTTTTTTTTTTAGGTTTGTGTAGATGACAGAAAGCTCTTGGAAAAAAAATAAAATTATTTCTAGTGAAGTAAATTTAAGAATGTTGAAAGAATACAAATCAAATGTAAAATCGGATACCACAAGCGATTAAAAAAAAAAAGGAATTCTTCTATGCATTAAATTGAAAAAAGTAATTTTATGTTTTGTAATTACTCAATTTTCCTACAACTGTAATATTTATCAATAAAATAAGTCTCCATCAAGATTGATAAAGCGGTAATATTAATTATTTTTTTAAGTGCACTAAATTAAGGAATATATATACTATCAAAACACAAACACGTATGGCTTTCGTCTTGGATTGGAACTACACACCCTCGATCTTTTCATTTCAGTAAAAATTTTAAGAGAAAAATAAAAATTCACACGCACACGTGAATAGTAATAACAGGCATATCATTAACATGAGTAGAGATCTTAGTTAATTCAATGCTTTATTTTTTTTTATTTTTCTATTTTCCATTATTTGACTAGTAGCGTGGGCACGATGTTACCAGTTAAATGCGTTATAAATCAGAGTCTTATGATACATGATGCTTGACAAACTAATTTATATTTCATGTATTTTCTGATACATTAATTCTTTTTCGGTTCATCTCAGTTTATAATGGGATTGTTATTGAGATATATGATCATATGATAGAAAGTAATTAGTTATATAACTAGGTTGAATCTAAGAGAAGTGATTGGTTGTAGGAATCACATGTATTGAGTGAAAGGATTGAAACATTTCATTCAGCTGAGTGTCTTATGAGACAACCATTGAGCCTACAAAATATAAGGCAGATGATGCTTGTTGGATGTTCAAAATTGAAGTCACTATTCAGTGTATCCATTGCCACAACCATCATGTTGGAGTATCTGTATGTTGAGGACTGTGAAGAATTGAAGCACATTATAACAAATGAGGCAGAGGATGATGATGTCCATCTCAACTGTACCTCCATCTTCCCAAAACTACAGAGCCTCTATGTTCATAATTGCAATAAATTGGAATTTATATTTCCATCCACTCTTTCCGGAGGTCTTCAAGAATTAAAATCTATACATATTTTGGGAGCTGATGAGCTGAAATATGTTTTTGGAAAATACGATGAAGAAGAGTGTCTATCAAATGAGAATGAAAGTAATGAGCCTCACATTCATCTTCCTGCATTGGAATCACTAGACCTCTATTATGTACAAAATATAATCAGCATTGGTATCAAGAAACGTCAACCAGAGTGCCCATCTCTACAGATTGTGGAAGCACCAAAGGTACGTAACTATTTTTAATTCATTATTTAATAGCGTCTCAATCTTGCTCTGTTTTTTTTTGTATGAAAATATATTTTATCTATTTATTCTCTTTTAAAATTTTAACTTTAAAATTGCATATAACTATTATGGGTCATGCGGCTTTCAGTTTATGTCAAAATGCAATTTATCAATATTTTTATTATCTTGTATAAGGATTATTTTATACTCGTAGAAGACAAACACGCATGACTTTCGTTTTGGTTGTGCATAGTATTTCTGTTCATTTTCAATTAGTTTTTTTTTTCAATTATTTTAACTGGTATCTAACAAGAATCCAACTAAAATAATTTGATCTTTAAAATGCTCATATTCCTAATTTAATATTCATTATTTTTTAATATTTATGCTTATTCGATGCATATTCATATATCTACATTTCATATTCTCACTTTAAAATTTGACAGCTATTTTTGTAACTCAGAATTTCGGATAAACTGAAGTAATACGTTAATGACATTAAATTTAATGTCAGTTTGTCTAACATTAATCTTTTTATTGCGGCAAAAATTAAAGACAAAAATAAATACTCGCACACACGCACGAATATTGATAATAGGTAGTATATCATTGACATGAGCAGGAATTTTGGTTAATTCAATGTTTTGTTATTATTTTTTTATTTTTCTAGTATTTGACTAGTATCAAGGGCACGGAAGTTATTAGTTGAACACCTTATAAATGACACCTTAAAATGCCCAGTGTTATAATACCTGATGCTTGACACACTTATTTTGTATTTCATGTATGTTATGGTCCTTTAATTACTGCGATGTTTTTATTCAGATTGTAGAAAGTGATTAGTTATATAACTAGGTTGAATCTAAGAGAAGTGATTGGTTGTAGGAATCACATGTATTGAGTGAAAGGATTGAAACATTTCATTCAGCTGAGTGTCTTATGAGACAACCATTGAGCCTACAAAATATAAGGCAGATGATGCTTGTTGGATGTTCAAAATTGAAGTCACTATTCAGTGTATCCATTGCCACAACCATCATGTTGGAGGATCTGTCTGTTTGGAACTGTGAAGAATTGAAGCACATTATAACAAATGAGGCAGAGGATGATGATGTCCATCTCAGCTACACCTCCATCTTCCCAAAACTACAGAGCCTCAATGTTCAGAATTGCAATAAATTAGAATTTATATTTCCATCCACTCTTTCTGGAAGTCTTAAAAAATTAAAATCTATATTTATTGTGGGAGCTCATGAGCTGAAATATCTTTTTGGAAAATACGGTGATGAAGAGTGTCTGTCAAATGAGCATGAAAATAATGAGCCTCACATTCATCTTCCAGCGTTGGAATCACTATCCCTCAATGATGTACCAAATATGATCAGCATTGGTATCAAGAAACATCAACCAGAGTGCCCATCTCTACAGATTGTGGAAGTACCAAAGGTACATAACTATTTTTAATTCATTATTTAATAGCGTCTCAATCTTGCTCTGTTTTCTTGCATGAAAACATTTTTTTCCCATTTATTCTCTTTTAAAATTTTAGCTTTAAACTTTTATGTATAACTATTATGGGTCATGCGGCTTTCAGTTTATGTCAAAATACAATTTATCAATATTTTTATGTATCTTGTATAAGGATTATTTTATACTTGTTGAAGACAAACACGTATGACTTCCGTCTTGGTTGTATATAGTAATTCTGTTCATTTTCAATTAGTTTGTTTTTGAATTGTTTTAGCTGGTACCTAACAGGAATCGAACTAAACAATTTGATCTTTTAAATGCTCATACTCCTAATTTAATATTCATTATTTTGGAATAGTTGTATTTGTTTGATGTCTCCTTTTATGCCCCAAAATTACGGATAAAATGAGGCAGGGGAACCTCCTCTGCTCTTCTTTCAACTTTGTCATCATTGTATAAAAACTAACGTCTTCTTAAATATTGTTATAATCTTACTTAAAAAATACCTAAAGAAATTTAAACTATTAAATTTGATTTGAATAGTTCATAACTGTGGTGAAAAAAAGTGAAAAAAATTATGCTTTATAATCATAGTTTGCAAATTACAACTGAAAAATAATCAGATTAAATTTTAACCGTTTTAACTTATTTATATATTTTTATATAAAATTGTAATAATATTTTTGTAAAATGTTAAATCTATACCAATTGCTTAATTTTATATTTACGTAATTACTCGATTTTCCCACAACTCTAATATTGATTGATAAGATAAGCCTTTAGACTACATATGTTATCAGATGTTATATATTGTGGGGTTACATGCACCCTAACCGTTTTTGAATGGCCAAAATGAAATTCTATTGGTTTAAAATTTGATGTCTATTTTGTACCTCAGAGTCTTAGATAAAGTGAAGTAATATATTAATTATTACACTCACTTTAATGTCAACTTCTCTGACTCTGATCTTTTTATTTCAGTTTAAATCAAAATGCAGTTTATCATTATTTTGTTTTTTTTTGGTGAACATCATTATTTTTGTTTTGTATAAAGATTATATGTAATAAATTATATATTATTAACAAAATATTTAAACATTCTCAAAACAATGAAGACTTTCATATAATTTTCCTATGGAGACATGTACAATTAATTATGTCAAAGTGATTCGGCTTTTACTTCTATAAGAATTCAAATTTGAATTTAAAATATTACCCAAAAAAAATATAGTGTGTTTGTGTTTTGTGGGTGAATGTGTATGTATTTCATAAGCACATGGATCAAAATAGAGAACATTATTTTAAATTTTGAATTGCCTTTTTGTGAAAACGTGTTGTAGGAAATTAAGAAGCACATGGAAGATGTGAGAAGTGAGGAAACAAGGGAATCTGAAATACAAGAGATTGTTAACGTTGAAATACCACTACTCACTCCAAGTGTGAGCTTTCAACATGTTCTCAACTTCCACAATCTAAAAGAAATAACAATCTTGGGAAACCAGAAGTTGAAGATTTTGTTCTCTGTCTCTGCTTGCAGAAACCTATCACAGTTGTCTCAATTACGAGTATGGAATTGTGAGGAATTAGTTAATGTGGTTGGAGATTATTCTAATAATCATCATCATGACATGAACTATAGCTCCATTTTCCCAAAACTGGAGGATCTAGATATCGTCGATTGCAACAAGCTGGAGTTTATATTTCCCCTGTCTCTTTTTGGTACTCTTCAAAAATTAAAATCTTTGAGTATCTGTAAAGCTGCTGAGTTGAAATACATTTTTGGGAAATATGATGATGGAGATCATTTATCAAATACAATTGATCTCCCGGCTTTGGAAACACTATCACTTAGAGATGCACCAAAGTTAATCAACAATATTGGTGCGAAAAAATATCACCTTAGCTTTCCGCGTCTACAAAGCATTGATTTGGGGGGTCTTCAAGAGTTCAACGGAAGATCTTTTCCAGATTTGGTGGCTTATTTACAAGGAATACAATTGAATGTGAAAGCTCCAAAGGTAACACATCTGACTTCTTGTCCTATGATCTGCATGTTGCTCTGTTTATTTGGATTGCCTAGCTTTTAAACTTGAACATCAAGAACATATTTTCATGCTTACAAAATTTTCATGTCAAGACATTTCATACATAAAAATTTGTAATTTATTTTTCATTTATAAACATTTGCGTTTCATCAATATATATGTGCGCATGCGCGCCTTTAATCAAAATCTTGCAGGAGATGTTAACTAAAAAAAACAATGACCTTAAAAATTTAGATATTTCTGCTAAATAGTTTGAAAGATAACATGTCCATATATATTACTTTGTTTATTTTACTTTTTCTTCTTGGAAATTTTCTTTTCATCACAACAGGATCGCTTAGCATTTAAACTCAAATACCAAGAACACATTTTTCAGGCATGAAAACTTTTCATTTCAAGACATGAAATTACTAAATTTTTTTTGGGCCAAAAAAATTACTGAATTTTCATTCATAGAAATTAACAATTTAGTTTTAATTTAGAAAAAAATTGCTTTTTTATTTTTCATCAAGCTCTTACACGAGATGTTATTTTTTTCATTTGATTTTTACACAAGATGTTAACTGAAAAAAACAATCACCTTAAAATTTTAAAAATTTTCTAACAGTTTGGAAGAAACCTACACCATATAAAGTTTATCTATAGAAGAAATTAACTACGGATTAATTAGCTTCTCATGTATATATACATTTTATGATTTCAAGTCGATATAATTAGGTATAATCAATATGCACGTGTCTTTAACTTGTAAGCATTCCAGGCCTCCATAAATAAAGTTTCTCTTTATATAACTCAATCCATGTTGAGACATCTATACATTAATAACAGTATTGGATTTTTCACAATTTGTTAATGTGGTAATTTGAATTCATGCTGAAATTTTGAATTGATTTATTTTTATTAGGACCTGATGAAAATTATCAAGGATATGCAGAAGCTGACAACTCTTAGGGTAAGAGACTCCAAAATAGAAGAGGTTCTTAATTTGGAAGGAGTGGAAATTGAAGGTCCATTCATGACATTAAGCATTGCAATGATGGAGTTGGAAAATCTAAGTGAGTTGAGGCATATATTCAGGGGTCCCAAATATATTTTGAGCCTCCCCAATCTTCAAGAACTAAACATCACAGCATGTAAAAAGCTAACAGCCATCTTCTGTGTCTCAATAGTGGGAAACCTCCCACAATTATCCGAATTAAGTATACAAGAATGTGATGAATTGGTTGACATCATTGAAGAGAGTGATGGGGATCATTTACATCAACTTTGTTTCCCAGAGTTAAAGGAAATTAACATCAAGTGTTGTAATAGCTTGAAATTCCTCTTCTCTATCTCAATATGTGGGCTGTTTCCAAAGTTGGAGTTCTTGAAAATAGAAGAAGCCTCTGAATTTGAGCAAATATTTATGTGCAAACAAGCTAATATGCAGAAGATGGCAAAAATGGGGGAAGTATTTCCAAAACTGTCAGATGTAATACTTAGAAAACTCCCAAAGTTTATTTCTATTTGTGAAGGAATTGATTTTAAGGATCTGCAATGTGACGTGGAAGATTGCCCAAAATATCGAGGTATAAATCCAGGAAAAGTCTTTTGATAATTTTGATAATTGCTAGCTACTTTTATGAATATTCATATGATATTAAAAATTCTATTGCAGAAATCAGTCAAATCCAAGAAGAGCCTAAAAATGAAGATTCAGAAAATCAAGCAACAGCAAGTGTTTTACAAGAATTTGCAGAGGTACATATATTAGACTCATCAGAAGAACAAAAAATCATTATTTTTTTTGTTTATTTTCTTTTAATCGTGAATTTAACCTGTTCACAATTTTGATTACTACAACTACTGCAAAGATTTTTGGAAAAACATTAGAAATATCATAGTATTTTTTTTGAAAGATTCATATTTATTATGTGCACATAAAAGAAGAAGAGAAACTAATGCATAGATAAATGAGCTTCAACGTTACTCCCTCTGCTCTTTATTATGAGCTTCAAATAACTAATTTATGAATAAAAAACTATTTGCTAAAATTAGTTAAAAATAATAAATAGGTTAGAAACAGATTTTTGTTTTCAAATATGTCTTTATAATAAATGAGAAAATGGATGAAAGAGAATGTGTGAAGAAATGTGATATGAGAGAAATAACTAAGGACAATGCTGAAAAAAAAAACATTAAATGTTAAAACAAATTCAAATTGAAGTTTATAAAATGGACCATAACTCTTTTTAAATTTAAAATTTATAAATAAGACTAGACGGAATATTAACTTAAAAAAACTTGTCATTTTCGTTGAGAACAATTTTTTTGTCAAAATCGCCAATGGCAACATTTTTATCTAATTTTGTTGAACAAAATTTGAAAGAAATAATAATAAACTTAGTTTATGTTAGTTTATATAATTCCCAAACAAATGATAACAAGTAATAGTAATGAAAGAAGCCTCCTACTATGTGTGATATCAATAACATAAATCTGTATTAGTTTACTATTGTTTTCAAATTTGTTGATATAATTTCTGTCATCTATTATACTGTTGTTTATCTAATTTTGTTGAACAAAATTTGTCCTTTGATGTTTACTCGAAGCTCAAAAACAGAGAAAAAAGCTGTTGGAGTACTTCGTCTTCAGAGTAGTGATATGTGGAGACATTGAGCAAAAATCCCATGACAGACCTCTATTATGTATTATTGACAAGAACGTGGATTATTGCGGATCAAGGGGAAAAAAGAACAATGATTTTAGTAGTACATATTAATTGGAAAGTTGTAGCTTAGGAATCATATGTATATTGAGCTTAGTAGAAAAAAGAACAGGGGTTTTAAATGAAATATTTAATTAACAGGCTGCAATATCTGGTGAATTTAAGAGATTAAATTCATCAACTCATTTAGAAATATAAAGTTAATTATTGAGGATGTGAAAAAAATATCATAAATACCTAACGTATGTTGTTGAGTTGAAAGATAAGACTTAATGCACAATATATATATATATATATATATTTATAAGCAAAACTAATCTAAGGATAAAATGTGTCTTTTTTCTATTGTAGATTACAGAGGAAACATCACTTGAAATTCAAGTTAAAGACCCTGCTCTGGCTTCAGAGAAACAAGCATCAGGAACTTTAGCAGCAAAGTCACAACTGAGAGGGACATATTTACATGTAAGTTTATATATAAATTATCTAAGTGATTTCAACATGCTAGGAATAGAAACGTGTCAAAATAGTTTTCTGCTAATTATTTAATATTTTAAATAGGAGTTGGAGGATGAACACAAAACAAGTGAATCAACTATGCAGCTCCAACAAGAGGATTTTGCAGAAACAAAAACCACTAAAGCTTCTCAGAAAACCAATGTACCATTTGATGATAATGTAGGTTATAACACAGAGGACTAAGTTCTTACAAAATTTGATCATTACAATATTTGATACTTATTCCTATTATGTGTTATTTAGAGTATTGATATCATATCAAAAGAAAGAGCTGAAGGTGGTCCCCTCCCAGAGGATGTAGTGGCAGCAATTATGGAAGCTGATTTAGCACCAAGAAACTCATCAAAAGCATTCATCATTCCTCACCAAAAAGAGTTCCCATTGGTTATTGATTAGTTTTTTATGACATTTTTGAAATAAAGAATTAGGAATGCATTCTAAATTAATGGCTTAAACATTTGCCTTTTTCCTTATTCATTGCTTGGTTTAGGATTTGAAGCCATCAGAATCAAGAAGCAAAACAAGCATGAAATGCCAGGAGAAGCTAGCAGATAGGATGATTATTGTATACTCGAATCTTCACAAAATATTAAAGGATCTAAGGACTAATTAAACAACATGATACTTACATATCTTCTGGTTCTTTTGTAGGGTGTTGCTTCCTCAGTTGTTTCACAAGTTGGAGAATTGCCATTTGGTCCATCTAAATTGGTAAGTTTACCGAGTTCATTTCAAATTCATAGCATATTTTCATTTATGAAGGAGCACAATTGAAAGAGAAATTTCTTTGTGTTTTCTAGGTTGCGAGCATGAAAGAAACACATGAGCAAGGCTCTCAAGAGGATAATGCAGCAAAAGAAGTTCCAATAATAGTTCAATCAACTGATTCAGATTCAAGGAAGCAAACTAGAGTATCACCCATTTTTGAACAAGTAAATGCAGTATAATTACCAAAAAAAAATGCATTATCCTTACTAATATATAAATACCATATGAATTATGAAGTTGCTAGATGCATTTTTTTCCTTTCACTTTTGCCTAGTTATAATTATGGCAAAATTTTATCTTGTGATGTTATTTAGAGCTCAGAAGAAACAGAGAAAGAAGCTGTTAAAATACATGCTTCGCAGCTATCAATGACTCCAATTTCAATAAATTTAGATTAAGTGTGTTGATCAAGAACTTTTTAATGTGTAGAAGGGTTATAAAAGTTAAGACCAATTTGTATTTCTTTTTAACGATTAATCAACATCTAATGACAAAACAACAAACTTCTGAATTCTTGATTATTGAACACTGAAAAATAGAACTACAATATACATTTTTTACGTGTCTCTCACAACTTAGCAAGAGCTAGGTACTTGAAACTGCAACTTATTTCTTCTTACTTTTAGATTACTCAGAGCATCAAAGATACAACAGAACTAGGTCTTGAAGAGAATTATGCAGAAGATGATGTCGTGACAGCAGTTGGATCAACTAATTCAGATTCAAGGAAGCAATCTACAGGACCAATTGATAACCTCTCCGGAAAACATTCTGCACTAGTAAGTTTGTTACTGTTTTCTAATTATAGAAATTGAAGTACTCTGTATGATTTTTTTTCCCTTAGTCTGCGCAAGTTAGTTTAGATGCTCACATGTTACCTTGATGTCTGTTAGAGTGCTAAGGAAAAAGAAAAAGGAATTAATGAAAAAGCTACTTCTACAGACGCAGCACCAACGGCAACTCCATTAAAAAGAGCCCTTGTATGTGTTTTGAGCTATCTCTAATAGTACAACCGTAAGCAACGACTCATTTTAAAAGAGAACCAAAAAAAGGAAAGTTCATCGTGCTCTTTTTTTGTTCTATGCAGACTGTTATAGAAACAGGAGATCACTCAAGTATTCAAGAGGAAGCTGAATCAGAGAAGCCTCTAAAAGCGATCATTCCCCGAGTCACTACTTCTCTTCATCACCGTAAGTATCTTTCTTTACATGATGATTATATATTTTTTTATTCTTTTGAGCCGTTTGCTAACTTTTTGGGCTGTGACAGAATCACAAAATGCTGATGATGCTATCATTTCATTTTATAAATTGGGAGTTTGTGAAATTTTCCAACTTGTGGAGCTAAAAGATGGTGAAGCGGCTTTACTTGCTCAAGCACTCCAACGATATCCTCAACTATTGCTACCTCAGGAACATCGCTCACAACGTATGATAGCTTGGTCCTACCGAGTGCTGGTAGATATTTTGGCGGTGCTGGCTGCCAAGACTCCTTGTAGCATCACAAGTTCAGAAAAGTCAACCTTGGAGACTAACTTATGTGATGCAACCTTGCTTGGGTTTGACAAAGAATGGATTGATTCGGTTCGGTCTAGAGTTTTTGGTGTTGACATGTCTGATGTGTTGGCAGCAGAAGAGGAAATTCAGGTGAAGGAGGCCGAGCTGGAGACGTGTGACGTTGCCTTGGAACAAGTTCGAAAGCAAAGAGTAGAGGCCAGAGAGCGACTTGCGGTGACACGAAGACAGTTGGAGATGGCGCAAACTGAGTTTGAAGCAACTGATTCTCAACTGTCGGCTCTATTGGAAGGTCGCAAGAAGTTGACTAATGAGATAACAGAGTTTAGAGAAATAATAAGTGCCAAGGACAGACCCTTTGGCATTTAATTGTGCGTTTGATTTTTAGTTTTTGTTATTTCGTTTCTGTTTCTAAGAACACTAGAATTCTGAGCAGACCATAATGCATATGATACAGACTAAGACTTGCCTCTGTTCAAACCCATAACAGCAGAACAGAGTTTGAAGTCTCTGATGTATGCATAATTAAATTTGGCCTTTATTTTTGCTGGATGATCCATATCTGTTGTTGGTAATTATTTTCAATTCAGAAAAGCTACCGTATTTATAAGACAAGAACCCACATACCTATCTAATATATTTATTATCCTCAAGCATGCGCAAATTGAGCAGATATCAATTTTTCTTTTTAACTAGAACTGTCCTTGGGTAGTTTAAAAAAAAAAAAAACTAAAAATACAAGGTGTGCAAGTGAAATAAGATAAAAATAAATACAATAGCCTTTGCTCTTAATATCCTGGGGAGGGACTTGATTTTACTGTCGGTGAATTTTATTGCTTTTTTTTTTTTTTTGGCCAACAAGAATTCCATACTATTATTAATCACAAAAAACAATTCAAAGTACAAACACCAAAAGTTAAAGCCAAAACACATAACTCTCGAAAATACTCATACTTCAATCCTAGCACAACAAACTCACTAATATAAACCAGCAGTAAAAACAAAAACAAAAAAAAAAACAGTATACAAATTACCCAATTCCACTTGGATCTAAAATATCACTATTACAGGCATGGTGATTACCACACAACTCAGCTGCATGATGATGCTTCAGTAAGCCATCTTGTCGGACACATTTCCTTTGCACCCAATGCGGCCAAACAATGCACAGCTTTATTTCCCTGTCGACAAACCAACGAAAAATCAGAAACACTCATTGAATTTTTTTCAGGATAATAATTCGAGCCCTTGTAAGTGTTTTAAGGCTCTATCAGTACAGTCATAAACAACTACTCATTTTAAAAGAGAACCAATTAAATACTACTGCATGTTTTTTTGTCCTTTTAATTTCGTTCGATGCAGACTGTTAAAGAAGCAGGAGATCACTCAAATGTTCAAGAGGAAGCAATCATTCCCCAAGTCATTCCTTCTCTCCATCATCGTAAGTGTCTTTCTTTACATGATCATTATAGTACTACTTTTTTTTTTTTTGGGGTCTTTGATCCATCTGCTAACTTGTTCACCTGTTCGTCTCCTAAACTGGGGATTTTAGAAATTTTCAAACTTGTGGAGTTAAAACAAGGAGAAACAGCTTTACTTGCCGAAGCACTAGAGCGATATCCCCAACTATTGCTGCCTCGTGAACATCGAACCCATCGTATAATAGCCTGGTCCTACAGGGTACTGGTTGATATTCTGGTCATGCTCGCGACCAAGACTCCTTATACCATTACCACATCAGAAAAATCAACCTTGGAGGCAAACTTAAGTGAAGCAATTGTTCTTGGGTTCGACAAAGACTGGGTTGAATCAGTTCGTACCAAAGTTTTTGGCGTTGACATATCTGATATCTCTGCAGCAAAAGAGGAGATTCAAGCCATGGGGGGCAAGCTTGGAGAAATTGATTCAGAAATTGATATGGCGTTGACATATCAGTTGTTGGATCTCTCCGAACATTGCAAGAAACTCTTTCAGAAGATGACCATGATCAGAAACATAGCAAGCGCCAAAGGCAAACCCTTTGGCATTTAGGCGTGTTTTACATTATTGTGCTTTGTTATTGGTTTTCAATTCCAGTAAGGCTCCGAAAGAGGGTACCATGATGCCTACGATCGATATATTTGATGGATTCATATTTTGTTGCAACTTTGATTTTTCAATCGGAACTGATTATTATTAGAAGTCTTCTCTTTATACTTTCATTGGGTGTGATTGCAATGGATAGAGAACTTCCCCCGGGGGAAGGCCGCTTGATTCTCTTTGATTTGAACAATATAGTTGTATTTCCAATTATTACATAAATATAAATTTATTACTAAATTAAAAAGTTATTTTATAAATTAGAAAATAGCATATTTTTAACATATGAAATATTTTAATATAATTAAAAATGATTTGAAAATTTTATAATATTTGTATGAATAAAAAATTATTTTTTTACAAGACATTTTAATAGTTTGAATAAATATTAAATATATTTTTTTAAATATGCCCATATTTAAATATTTAATAAATGTAGTGAGAGAAAGTAAAAATTAATAATGTTGAAGTTTATGGTATTTAATAAAAATAATATTAAAAAAATAACTTGAATTTTAGAATAGATTTTAATACTTTTTAACTATTTTTATTGAGATATATATATATATATATATATATATGAATTATTTAGAAGCGGTACATAATAGAGGAAGGGAGAAGTATCTTTTATTTAGTAATAAAGCAGAGATCAAGAATTCCACCATACTCTGATTTCTCACAATAAAATATATCTTTATGTTATATATGTAAAATAAATAAAAAAAACAGTTTGGATAGAACTTTTTTTTAATTGACTAATGCTGTGCTAATTTTTTAAAAGAAAAATCTTAGAACTTGCTTTTGTTGATAGTCTGTTTCTTCATGCTTATTGAATTTTCAATTTCAGATCTTTAATCTTTTCTTCATCACCCTTCTTAGTTTTCTGTTCTTTCAACCCTCTTTCTTTTTTTGGACCCAAAAAAAATATCCTCTTTCTTCTTTCTACACATTTATTTTTTAAAATTTTGTCATCACTCCTACAATCATAAGGGAGAATTATAATGAAGTCCTAAAGAAAAAAATTACAAAATAAGTCTTAGATGTTGTCATTCTCCATTCTAAAACTTATCATTACAGGCTGCTTAGATTATTATTGAGATTTTTTTTAAAAAAAATTTTAGACTTAATTATAATTTTCTCTAATCATAATCTGAAGAGAGGACGCGCGGGTGTGGCCGGATTCTTTATGAGAAAACTGGCCGAGCATCATCAAGCTTCTCTGGTCCTCTTCCGCCCTCCTTGGATAGCAAAGCGATTTCGAGACAATAATAATTGAGGCCCAGCTTCTTCACGTTGACATTACCCTCCGCTGCCCCTTCGCTGCTGATAAACGGCAGTACGTTTGGAATATTTTGTGAAATGCGGAAGAAATAAGGGAAAATTAGGAAGAAGGACCTAAAAAAATTAGTATTTATTAAGAAGGATCTTAAAAATTGTAATTAATTTGAAAGACCAAAAATTAAAATAAAATTTTACAATTACCAAATTATCCCTTATCAAATCCCTACATTATTTCCAACACCCTCCTATCTCAATTTAACAGTTAATTATTAATTGAACTTGATTTCTCTATCTCCCTCCCTCTTTGTATCTCAATTATTATCATTTATGATAATAATGGGGGGTAATTTAGTAATTATAAATTTATATTTCAATTGATAACTGACAATCAAATATTGAGATGGGTCTTGGAGATAATGTAGGGATTTGGCCAGGGATAATTTCGTAATTGTAAATTCATATTTTAATTTTTGGTCCTTCAAATTAATTATAATTTTTAAGATCCCTCTCCATAAATACTAATTTTGTTAGGTCCTTCTCCTCAATTTTCCCAAGAAATAATGTGTTGAGGCTCTAAAACGCAAGTCCTCAATTAAATAGTGGACCCTATTTAATAAATTTTTTTAAAAAATATATTACTTCTAATTATTAATATAAGAGCTAGTTAAAGATTTAATTTGATTCTAAAAATATAATATCTCAATCTACTTTGTCTTCAATATTTATTCATTTTACCTTCAAATAATCATTATAATAATTGAACATATTAAGAAATTACTATCAAGAGGTAATTCAAATATACATTATTAATTATGTAGTTTAGAAAAAAACAGTATATATTTATTATAAATAATTAACTTATTTAATATTCATAAATTAGTTATTTAGTTTTTATGTTAAGGATTTGGTAGTTACCGAAATTCTCAATGAAAATGTGAAATTAATAAATATACTTATCTTTTAATAAATCATAATATCTCATATTTTATTGACCTAACTTATCAATATCTTTCAACTTCTATTTTTTCTTTCGAAATTTTATGTTACCGTAGGTTTTATAGTTTTGATAAATCTGATTTTATATGGGTAACAATTAATTTTGACTAATTTAGTTAAATATTATTTTATTATCATAGGAATTACTTAGGATAAAATAGATAAATATTAAAAATAAAGTGAATTGAGATGTTATATTTAAAATCAAATTAAATCTTAAATAGCTACTAGTATATATGTAAAGAATTGAAGGTAGTGTATTTTTTAAAAAAATGGAGAAAATGTAGATCAAATTTCTTATATTTATATGTCAAGTTTTTCAATCATATATGATTACATGTTTTTTTCTGTTTTATGTAGATTTATAATTAAATGTTATTAAATACTAATATTTTAAAAATAAGATGTATAATTATATGTGATTAGAAAACTTGTTCTCATGAATATAAAAAATTTGAAAACAGACATTTGCTGATGACATCCTTCCAATATACATCTGACAATCACCGCATCAAAGGCGAGATTGGCTTCCTTCTTTTCTTTAATTCAGGGCTTGGGATTTTAGAGCCGCTGCACGTCGCTTCCTTCCCGTTTCACAATATATTCCAAACGCATTGCTGTTTATCCGCAGCGGAGGGGCAGCGGAGGGTAATGTCAGGGGATAGTTGCTGTTCGTGGGGCCGAAGCCACTCTCTTGGCGTCTGAGGTTTGCCGAGGGCTCGTCGAAGCAAAGTTCTGAATTAGGGATATGTCAACAAAGTTCAGATTTTAGCATGGCGCATAGGTTGCTGAGGGATCATGAAGCAGATGGGTGGGAACGATCTGACTTTCCTATTATCTGCGAATCATGCCTCGGTGACAACCCATATGTTCGTATGGTATGTATTTTTCTCCGTCGCTCTTCGGTTTAACCCCTTTTAACCAAGCTTGCCCTTTTCAGGGTTATGAACTTGTAGGCTACCATTAAATTCTTTATTTCAGTTGCACTATAAGCTGTCAAGAGAGTTCGTAATAATCATTTTCAGACTTTAGCATGTTTCTCAGAGGAAGTTAAATTTGTCTAGCTAACTTATTTAATTGCTCTTTTTATCGGTATACATGGCTGCAGACGAGAGCTGACTATGATAAGGAGTGTAAAATTTGTACACGGCCATTTACTGTTTTTAGATGGAGACCTGGTCGAGATGCAAGATATAAGAAAACTGAAATCTGCCAAACATGTAGTAAATTGAAAACGTTTGTCAAATCTGCCTTCTAGATCTTGAGGATGGGTTACCACTACTAGTCCGAGATACGGCTCTCAGTATCAGTTCCCATGACGCTATTCCCAAGAGTGATGTTAATCGGGAGTATTTTGCTGAAGAGCACGATCGCAAGGCATGATTATTTCACTACCATATCGTATATTTGATGATACTTGCCCATAATTTTAGAGAATGTTACACTGGTGTTCTACAAGATAGAAATTGTTTCATCCTCTTCCCATCATCGTAAGTGTCTTTCTTTTTTGATGAAGATTTTAGATTCTCTTCCAGTTATGTACTAACTTTCTTGGCTATATATATGTCTGCGTGTGTGTGGCAGAATCACAAACTGGTGCTGCTGCTGCTTCTTCTCCAATACTAGAGATTGGTGAGATTTTCCAACTTGTGGAATTGAAGGGTGGAGAACGAGCTTTACTAGCCAAAGCACTTGAGCTATATCCTCAACTAAGGCTGTCCCGTGGACAACGTACTCACCCAATAATAGCTTTTTCCTACGGAGTCCTTGTTGATATTTTAGTCTTGCTGGCTACCAAAACAACTTGTACCATTACAGCATCAGATAGAACTGCCCTAGAGGCGAACTTAGGTGCTGCAACTTTTCTTGGGTTTGACGAGGATTGGATTAAGCTGGTTCAGGCCAAAGTATTTGGCATTGACAAATTTGACGTCTCGGTAGCAGAAGAGAAAACCTCAGTCATGGAGAAAGAACTTGAGAAATGTGACATTGCATTGGAACGTGTGCAAAAGAAGAGGATAGAAGCCAAAGAGAAGTTAGCAATAGTGCAAACTGAGTTTGAAGCAGTTGACACTCAACTGTTTGATCTATTGGAAGATCGCAGGAACTTAGTTATGAAGATCGCCGAGTTTAGGAAAATGATAAGTGCCAAAGATAGGCCCTTTGGTATTTAAGTACGCTCACTTTTTGTTTCTGGTTGTTTGTGTTATATTTCTAAAAAGAGTAAAAAATAAGTGAAATATAATGCCTAAGACAAACCAATATGGCCCCTATGTTCCATTAAATAAGTCTTGTTAGGAGAATTTAATCGCTGTGATCTATCAGCAAACAGCTTGTTCAACGCCTCTTGATGCCAATTTTGTTAGGTTGGCTGCTTAAACTATAATCTTCTTTTTCTTTTTCTTTTTTTTTTTTGATGAAAAACTATATTCTCCTAAATGATATTGTTTGTGTAAAGTATTCTTTAATTAATAGTAATGGGTACAATAGCTACTAGTATAAAAAAAACTTAAAAAAAAAAAGACTATAAAAAACATTGTAAATAGCAGAACTGAAAAAGTTATACTTCATTTCATAAACATCACAGGCAGTCTCAAATAGTCCTATAGAGATGACACGTTTCAATTAGAGAGCATTTTATTTGTCCATTGTCAAATATACAGAATGAAACTTATGGCTTTGGGTTCAACTCTTGCACATACAGCGTGCATTGAAAATTGGTTTAAGGGGGAAAAAAAAAACCCTTATTGCCCTGATGGTCATATCGGCTTAACGGAAGTAATTAGTCAAAATTCAATATAACTTTTGGATATTAGGTGGTTTGACGTGAAAAAAATAAAATAAAAAATAAGGACGCCATTGTGATTTTATAACAACTAGCATTTGCTTCCCCGTGCATCACTGCATATGATACAAGTGCATTTTCTAACAGCATAATGCTCCCTCAATTTACGATCACAAGTCTATCTTAATAACATGTACAATATACATGAAGACAATCAACATGATGCACTAACATTCCGAAAAACTTCTCGATAGTGAGCTCCATTTATACCAGTCCCCATGTCACCCACCATAAGCACTTCGAGGCAAAAGAGATGACTTGCAAGCCACCTTGACATAACATCACAAAACCGAAAAAAGATCTCTGACGGTATTGCCATGATCACTTGCAAAAGGAAAAGGCCCTGCACACTTTTCAACTCAAAAAAGAGAAAAAAAATTACTAAAGTCAACTACCAACACATGATATCCGAGGATGGCCTTCACCTCAGCATACATAAACTCTAACCTTCACAGCTAAATTCCTACTCCTCCGGTCCTAATTATAAGACCCCATTTGACTTTTTATTTGGTCCTAATTATAAGACCACAATCCATTTTGTCTCTTATATTTATGCATTTTTTTCCAAGATAATCCTTCTAATAATGATAGTTTTAACCAATATACTTAATTAGCAAGAATATTTTAGGAATGACAATACTTATTTATTATAAATAACCAACTTAATTTATTTCCTTAATCTCCTCAAATAAGTCAATTGGGTCTTATAATTAGGACCGGAGGAGTATTATCTTTCACAACTATGTCAATCCTGAGACTGAATTTCCTCACCAGCACATGATAACAATGCATGCTTTTTCACACCCCTAATCCGTCCAAGCACATAGCTCTTTTGTTTACAAATACTACCTCCGGTCCTTAATATAAGATCCCATTTGACATTTTGTTTGATCCTAATTATAAGATCCCAATCCATTTTGTCTCTCATATTTATGCATTTTTTTCCAAGATAGTCCTTCTAATAATGATAGTTCTAGCCAATACACTTAATTAGTAAGGATATTTTAGGAATGACAACACTTATTTATTACAAATAACTAACTTAACTTACTTCCTTAATCTCCTCAAATAAGTCAACTGGGTCTTATAATTAGGACCGGAGGTAGTATAATGCCCATCCCCTTGAACTTTCTTTTTTTAATAAGATGCCAAAGTCCTGTTTAAAATTTATCTTTTCCCTTGATAATCACTAATTTGATGTTGCATGTGGATTTAATACTTATCAGTTTTCAAAGTTAGTCTTCTTCCATTAACTCATGACACATTTGAATATGTAGAGAAAATTAACAATTATTCATTTCAATACTTTACAGATCATTTCTGACTTCCTCTTTAAATTATGTTGGATTATTCTCACCGTTTATGACATGTCTTTTGCACCCACGCCTTCCGTGATTGACAAATAAACAATCTGACTAACCTCAAGCGCCCCACAACACTGAATTAGTCCCCATCCTAACTTTCTAACCATGACACTTCTCGGCCATTACCTTCCTGTAAGCTCACACAAGCCAATATGAACGATTGGTTACCCTTTGACCTCTATACTGATCTCTTGGAACCTTACCTCTGATGCTAAAATTATACGTTGGTTTCCTCCATTACACAATCCACGCAAATTGCCGCTCCAATTCCTCATATTTACACAGATTCTGATCTACCTAATTAGATCAAAATCATCTCAGTCCTACCGCACGCCAACTTTCCTGCCTCTAGGATCCTTGATGTCTTAAGAACTAATCATCTTTTTTGAGCCCCCCACCAAAATGATGGCTGCTTATCATTTCATTAACACAAGGATCTGTCAATTGGCTGGTAGACGACCTTGCCAAAATCTAAAATCAGACCATACCTTACTTCTTCCGGCAGCTCCTCCATATCTCCCAGCCTATATGAAAAGACTAAACGTCGAACTGCTAATCAGAAGTAACCTCCATGTATCGTGTTCTAGTACTAACTTAACAGGCGTGAAGAAACTAAACATCGTCTAATTCTCCACCTCTGAGACCCTAGCCAACACATCTCATTCAGACCATAGCATGTGCCCTGTGACCTCCTAGTGCCTAAATCAAATGCTAGCATGCCCTCCCATCTCGCCTAATAATAGCCAAGATTCATAATACTCTATTCTTTTTGCTTGAGACACACAACATATCTCTACTCGAACCCACACACTGATTTAGGCTCTCTTCTTCTGCGATAAAACTGCTAACGTATCCACTCTTGATTTTCTTGCAGATACCTCTATCCTTTGCAGGTCTGGATCAACATGATCACAGACGATAACTTCAATACCAGCTACCCTGAAAAAAGATATGCACTCAGAAAATCTTTCCTTCATCCTTCAAAATCATTCTTAATATATGATCCAACCTGTTCTGACTCATCAACAAAATCTCTTAAATCCTCCCTTATTTTCACTCTTCTTAATCTTAACAGCAGAGAAGTATCACATTTTTAGTCATCCCAAATTACAGTTGTGGACCATATGCACATTTCATATCATGCACTTAACGTTTCAAACTTATCCTGTCCCGGTATACATTTCATGTACATTGCTGCTAAAGTCTGAGTGCCATCCATACATTTCATGCCCTGCACCAACCCAAATACTATGCCCTTAAACATCCATTATGGGTCCCCTACCTTGTATACTCATTCAAGCCTCGACTATCATCAGGTTCCTCTCAAAGGACAAGTTATTAATCCCATTATTATCCGATTAAATTACCTACACATACTTCAACTCAAAAAGCTGGCTGCAGAACAACTTTTCTTTCCCACACGTGACCTCTAACGCCCCAGACAAACAACCGCCAAATGCTAACTACTCAACCTTTTCTTGCAACGTACAAAGCTAGAAGCTCACCCAAAAATCATGAAAACTCTGACCACCGTCAGCCCCCTGACACTACTAGCCTTCACCATCACGTGCCAAACTGAGAAGGTCACTCGTATCGCCCTAGTCATCTCACACAAAAACGTTGACTTCCTGCACAGAGTTATCAAAGGCACCTTCCACTTAACAACTGAAAGGTATCCGTCAAACCATACAAGAAAAGCTGAATTACATCACATCCTTACCACCAACACGCATGCTGCATCTATTTTCACGCTATCTAAACCATGTTAACGCTTTAGAGGCAAACCAAACCACCATGACTACTCATGATAATGCTACCTATATAACTTAGTATTTCAACCCCCACCATCAACACAGACACGAAGACTTCACTGACTAAATTCTACTATTGGTCCTTTAACAACAAAGTTGATAGCTCCGGTCACCTTGACATGTATAAACTTTAGCCATTGCAGCATTTTTCCACACTCATCAATGAATACTCTTTTCCCGAACAGGGCAAGGTCAATCGAAATGCAGATGACACCCTTTAATATAGAGGCATTGTCCTGTTTTCATATTGGCACCATTAAAATTTGTTTTTTAAAAAAAGATAACATCACAAGCAGCAGGGCGGAGACTCCTTGATTTCGATTAATTAATAATAAATACGAAAATATCCCTATAGCGTGGCCAACTTATACTAAGTGAATCATTAGCCGGTTGGGGAAACCCACAATCCATGACTTAATGTCATTTTCATACTCCCAAAGATTCACATGCTTCTCGCAAATCATATAGTTACTTAACCTAGCCTTTGTTAATACAAAACCTTATCCTAACCAATTTCATAACAAAATATAATCATTAAAAACCAACTTCCCATAACCAAATATTATTTTCATCCCTAACAGATATCCTTCACCCCACAAGCAAGTACTACTAAGATTTACGAAGCAATAAACATTCCCTTTCTTACATAATAACAAAAACCAATCTTAAATTCACTTGCTTACATCATAACAAAAAACCAATCTGGGCAATCCCATTACTCAACAATCAATGCGCCATGATTTCATTCATGGGAGGCATGTACTTGCCACCACTGGAGGCATATACTTGCCACGATCACCTACTATACATCAGTCACAATTTCCAAGATAATATAAACAACTTTGATCTCTCCTGTCACCCTACATAATTGAATATACCCACCAAAACAGTAGTGACCTACAACTAAACCCACCCTCCTAAAAACAAAACCCACACAACTAACTACACTACTACAGCTCCATCACCTGCTCATCTCCTCCCAGCAGTCCTCAGCAATTCCCTCCTCAAAATAATGGTCTCATAGAAAGTGGGATTTCAGAACACTCTAGTTGCATTTGTGTAGTTAGTCAATGATGTTATCCCTGTAAACACATGAAATCATCTAACTCAATCATCGTCCATTGCTACATGATCTAATTTAATTGTTTCTAGTACAAATTAACTTAATCATTACCTCCTACTCTCTTCACAATGGCATTCTGCACAATACAGCTGAGCCTATCCAGTCCTCTAACACCTTGAAAATCCCCCCATGCATCCTTAGCCAGCTCACCATAAATCTCCCACTCAATCCCACACTTCCCACAATGACGCCTATAAGTAATTTACTACTCCACACTAATATCTTCGTATTAACTATAACCATTACAAAACTTGAGTTTTAGCAGAAGAAAAAAACTTACTCCACATCCTGCAGAACAAACTCCAGAACATAAGTGTGTGCCCTCTCAGCTCCTCAAAACAAATCAAGATCCTGGCAATATCTGAGAAGCATTTCAAGCAAGAAACTCCACATTCAGATATATTTAAACGGCCAAAAATAATCCCAGAACAGATTACATGAATTTACTCACCGGACCAACCTCTCACCCTGTACTCAGGGCAAATCTCTATCTGAATGCTCTCAATGGTGCTGAGCTTCAAAGAATGATTTGGCAGCAGCTGCATCCGTCGCTCAACAGATGTGTTTGGCCTTAGCACCATGTGATATTTGCTGTGAATCCCTTCCCCACCTTCTCGTACCTCAAAATTCTTAATGTAACGTATCTTCTCCTCCCTCAGCTCATTCCCAAACCGTTCGACAATGTCATCACCATCAAGACATAGCAACATCCATGGAGAAAAAAAATACCCTTCAGATATTGGGGAGGAAAAACTTTATAGAACAGGGTACGAACATTAGCACACAACTGAATAAGAAGACCCTCAAACACAAAAACGACCTACTGACACAGACCTCCTCATCATGCACAATCATGTCCGGCGAAACCAGCACCTGCGGATAGCCAAGGAAGGAAGACAGGAACAACAATGGACCTTTCCCCTTCTAAACTTCTAAGTGACCAACGAATGCTTCGGAAAAAGTACCCATCCCCAGTCACCACTCCCATATTTATATAGGACCCAACAACCCCACTGAACAGTGTGACCAATAACCACCCCGCACACGCATTTATATAGTACGCAATTAATGAATGGTTATGGTGACCAGGTAATACCATGCACACGTAACCCTCACAATAAATGCATGGCTGTCACAAAGACCACCGTGAATGCAGCCATATAACATTAGCCGTTACTGTTCATAAGCCAACACTGTTCATAGCACAGTACTATGTGAGGAAAGCCGTCAAGAAGTGATAAACGGCTCATACTGTCATTGGTTTTTATTTATTAGTTCTGTTGATTGGCGGCCATTGGCAACCCAGGATCAGAGCAAAAATCGATAGATCAACTGACATTGGGAGAAGCAAAACGTGAAATTAAAATTTGTAGTACTTTATAGTATAATGGAAATGCAAAATCAACAAAGAGCAAGATGGATCAAAAGAAGCCATAATACCAATTGAATGCAAAAATTTTCAGGCCAGGGAAGCAATAAGGATGATCCCTGGATAATTCTCTATGTATGGCAAGAATTTCCATAATTCGGGGAGTTACAGTAAATTATTCTTTTGAACTCATATTTAAATGTTGCTAGGAGTAAAGAATTGATAAAGTTAATTACTTTATAAAACAAAATATATATGTTGGTTTTATTTAGGGCTTAGAAGCAGGGGAAGGAAGCTTCATCAAAATTCAAAGGTGATTCCAAATGACATCTGACATCCCCAAGCTCTTTATCTCTCTTTCATTTATTACTTCGATATTATCATATTCTTTTTCACCAAATTGAATGATGATATATGAAGAATGAACATCACCGTAAGGATTAGGTGTGATTCTTTTGTGAACTTTCATTTTCATAATATTTAGTAGTGACAAATAATTCTTTTCAACGGATGTCTCACCAAAGACAAAATATTAGAGCGCTTATTAATCGTTTAACTGTTCAAATTACATTTTTTCCCTTTAAACTGATACATCTAAATATTACTAAAAAGATAATTGATTAGTGAATAAAGAGAAAACTTTATGATCTTTTGATGTTATTCAGAGTTCAGAAACAGGGGAACAAAGCTGTTAAAATTCATTCCTCACAGCCACCAGAGGATATAACTTCAATGAATTCAGAGGTGATCAAAATGACATTTCCAAGGCCTAATCTATTATCAAAAGGCTAAATTAGATAAGAAGTCATGTGAAATGCCACCGAAGGACGCAAGGTGTTTTATGTTAATCTGATGTGGCAAATTTTGTTATAAAGATAACGGTGAGTTAACGGTAAAGAGTCAATGATAAAAAAAAAAAAATTAAAAAAATCAGAAGGTTTAAATTTAATCTTTGAAATTTTAAAAAGGTTGTCTATAACCGTCTTAAAGTTTACGGGGAGTTTTGTATAATTTAGCCCTATTGAAATGAAGCGATTTCACTTCTGTTGAATCCGAATTTATAAGAGCACCTATATTTGTTTTGAGCTCTCAGCATAAAAAAGCAACAATTCATTCAGAAAGACAGAAGCAAATAATAAAGATTCAATTGTTCAAGAACCTCCGTTTAATTACTTCAAATATTTTCCGTAAAAGAAAAGGTCCAAATAACGTCCTTTAGCCTTCCATCTTTCTCTAGAGAAAGAGACAAAAAGAGACCCTAACAAGCGGCGGCGGCGGAAATGCATTGTGTTTTTCAACCCTCGGCAAAAATCGCAGAGGTCATCGCTCATAGTCTCAACTCGCCGCCGTTGCCATCTCATATACTTGATGGCGAAACGGAAGAGGAAGGTCAAAGAAGATTCCAGTGAGGATTGCAAAATGGAAGAGGAAGGTTTAAGAAGATTCCATAATCAGAAAAATGCGTGGCTGGTCCTTCTTCGCTTCAGGAGTTTCAGACGGAGTTTTTTCTCGGAGTCTGTGTGTTTTTTATCCTTTCATAACTGTGTCCCACTATCAAAAAATAGCGGTCGTTACTTTATTTGAAAGGTAGTGTTATTTTTGCGTTCATTTTAAACTTACATAAACAGATTTGTACATAAAAAAAAAAAAAAGGTATACAAGTATTTAGTTTAGCATGGGAAGCTCACAGCGTAACGAAGTAAAGTTTGAATTTTCATCAAGAGAAATATTTTTATTTAGTGCTTGATATTTTTTTTCTGAATAAGATTGTCTCTAATAGAAAAATATCTGCCAAGTAAAGAATTTGCCAAATGAAAACTTTTCCCCAATTTTCCATTTTTCAATTACATGTGTGAGCGAATAATTATTAAATTTTTATATTTATGTGTTTGCAGCTGCACGATTGCCAGCGTCGTTAGCTCCGAAGAGTCAAGATGCCATGTCTCCCGGTAAGCCAGTAAAATATTTCTATATATTATTATTCTTATTATTATTACTTTTTTTCCCTTTTATAAAATACTCATTATTCTTAACTTTTTTCGGTATCGAAAAATTCGCAAGTGGATATATAATAAAGCAAAAGGAAAATTATGTATCGGCACACACATAAAGCCAAAAGAAGTGCGAATTTGGTTTAATTCACAAATTTGATAATGAAAAAATAGATTAAGAATTCATGAACAAAAGAACAGTAATATAAGGAAGCCTTGGAAAAAGTGACTTCATTATTATATATATACTCCGTCCTGCACTTATTATAATTTTGAAAAAACTAATTTACAAATAATGAACAAGTAGTTAAAATTTGTTAAAGACAATAAATATGTTTAAAATATGGTTTTGTTTTCAAATATATCTTTATAATAAATGAAAAATGATGAAAGATAATGTATAAGAAAAGGTGACAAGAGGGTATGTTAAAAGAGAGAGAATAAATAATTAAGGACACTAATAAAAAAATATATTAAATGTTTAAATAAACTCCAAATTAAAGCTTATAAAATTGATCATACTTTTTTCAAATTTGAAGCTTGCAAATAGTGTCGGAGGGAGTATATTCTTAGCCAAAAGGTTTTCTTGAGATACGGGAGTGAATATTAGTATACTCAAAGCAGCTTCCATAATACTATCAGTTAGAGTCCAAAAACCGATCTCATTACTGAGGATTTAATTTGCTTGTGCTCTTTGTGCTATCTCTCTGTGCTCTATTTTCCTGGTAAGAATGTACGTTGATTCATCCTTTAAAGTGTTCTCTCAATTTGTTAATTTTAGTTTGCTTCGTTATTCTCCTTTTTTTTTTCTTTTTCTAATCAATTTGATTTGAACAGAAAAACTGAAAAAAGAAGACTGCTCTTTTAGCTTGTTGAAGGCATCTTCAAGCAATTTGCAATCTGCAAATTAACGGTCGTTACTTTATTTGAAAGATCGTGTTTATTTTTGCATTCATTTTAAACTTACATAAATAGATTTCTACGGAAAAGAAAATATACGAGTATTTAGTTAAACAAGAGAAGCTAATACCTCACAGCATAACGAAATAATTTTTGAATTTTTATTAGGAAAAGTACTCTTATTTAATGCTTGATATTTTTTTTTGAATAAAAGTCTCAAATAGAAAAACACATGCTTGGTAAAAAATTTGCCAAATGAAATTTTTTTCCCAATTTTCAATTACATGTGTGAGCAAATAATAATTAACTTTTTATTGTTATGCGTTGCAGCTGCGGGATTGCCACCTTTGTTAGCTCCAATGAGTCAAGATGCGATGTCTCCCTTGGGGATGTTCATGGGATGAGATGGGATAAGGACGACCCTGTCCCAGTCCCGTCCCAATAATTGAGAGGAGATAGCTTTTCCGTCCCGTGTCCTGTTCCATTCTAATAGCCTCCCATTCTAATTGGAACAGAACAAGAACATTTCATTTCCCTTTTTTTAAAATTTTTTTATTTGAAAACTAACTATACAAAAAATATAAAAACTTATAATAAAAACTATGTGGAGAAAATAGATAAAAATGATAAAACAATGACAAAGAAAAATATTTTTTGTAATCATAAGAGACAAAAAATAAACAAACCTAAAATATTCACTACAAAGAATATCATGTAAGTCATACAAAAACAACTTTTAAACAAATAAAAAATAACAATTAATAAATATCATTACCAAAATACTATTACAGTGATAAATAAAATAAATATATAACAACTAAAAATAAAGATAATATATTGGGATGGGACCGAGACTGGGACCGGGACATGACACTCTTATCTTGCATCCCGTCCCATCCCGAAACAATTTTATCCCGTCCTGCTTTTGTCCCATCCTAAAAGCTTTCAAGATGGGATTGTCCCCTCCCAAAATAACTGGGACAGGGACAGGACACTAGAATGGGATACAGTTGAACACCCGTAGTCTCCTTGGTAAGACAATAAATATTTCTATATACTATCATTCTTATTATTATTACTTTTTTTTTCCTTTTATAAAGTACTCATTATTCTTAGCTTTTTTCGATATCATGCTCTTCTTTTGATGTATCGAAAAATTCGCAAGTGGATGTATAATAAAAAAAAAAAAAGAATATTATGTATGGGCACACACATAAAGCCAGAAGAAGTACGAATTTGGTTTAATTCACAAATTTGATAATAAATAAAATAGGTTAAGAATTCATGAACAAAAGAATAGTAATATAATGAAGCCTTAGAAAAAGTGACTTCATTATTATATATATTCCATTTGACACTTATTATAAATTTCAAATAACTAATTCACAGATAATAAACAAATAGTTAAAATTTGTTAAAAGCAATAAATATATTAGAAATATGGTTTTGTTTCTAAATATGCCTTTATAATAAACAAGAAAAATGATGAAAGATAATGTACAAGAAAATGTGACAAGAGGGTATATTAAAAGAGAGAGAATAAATAATTAAGGGCATAAATGAAGAAAAATGTATTAAATATTTGGATACATCCCAAATTAAAGCTTATATAATGGACCATACTTTTTTCAGATTTAAAGCTCACAAATAGTGCCAGAGGGAGCATACTCTTAGCCAAAGGGTTTTCTTGACATCCGAGAGTGCATATTATTATACTCAAACCACCTTCCATAATACTACCGGTTAGACTCCAAAAACCGATCTCATTACTGAAGATTTAATTTTCCTGTGCTTTTTGTGCTATCTCTCTGTGCTCTATTTTCCTGGTGAGAACGTACGTTGATTCATCCTTTAAAGTGTCCTCTCAACTTGTTAATTTTAATTTGCTTCTTTATTCTCCATTTTTTTCTTTTTCTAAGCGATTTGATTTGGACAGAAAAACTGAAAAAAGAAGACTGCTCTGTTAGCTTGTTGAAGGCATCGTCAAGTAATTTGCAATCCACAATCCGCAAAAACTTGGTAAGTTCATCATCACCTTCCCTTCTTATCTCTTAGTTATCTACTTTTCCTTTATCATTGTTAGTTGCTTTATACTACCTCCGGTCCTACTCCTAATTATAAGACTTTATTTCTAAACTATAAACGATACTGAGACTTACGGGGAAACATTAATTCCACTAGATTACTAATGAGATGCCTCGAAATTATTCTAGGCTTTATATCGTGATAAATGATCTCTTCATGAATAATATTCTTTAACACCGAAAGTTTTTGTATGCTAGTTTTGGCACTGTGGGCAAAGAAGGCGGATTAAAATTGTTGTCTTTATTTTCTGATTAATTGCTGCATTATTCACCTCATAATTATACTCCCTTTGTATGTATATTTGCTTTGGTTTAGTTTCATCGATGTGTTTATGTCTTTCAGTTGCTTCTTAACTTCTTTCACTCTTGTTTGTTTGGCCGTTCTCTTGACCTCTACCAATATAATCCTCAGGTCATAAATATAACACCCGTTTTATAGTGTAAATTATACTATAAAATGAGTATTATATTTAAGACTAAAAGAGTATATTGAGAGAGTTAGAAGGAAATAATATTGTAATATATAATTTATTGTATCTTCTATTATATTGTCAAAAATTAGCTGTGCAAGCTATTTTTAAGTTTTGTTCTTCTATTTTTGCAGTTTGTGTGCCCTAACATCCGGTCATATTTAGATTCTTCATTGCAGCTGTAACTTGTTTGATGCTTTGTCTTTCTATAAAATTTACAAAAAAGGGGGAAAAAAGGAAAAGCAAAAAAGAGACTTCTTAGATCGTCCAAGAATCATCAAACGGACGACGGTGGAATCTCGAAAAAAGAGAGAAGGGTAATTATATATTTTGATTGTGTCCATCTTACTGTCAATGTCCCTATTTGTTACTTGCAATTTAATTATATTTAATTTGGAAGAATATTGAAGATTTATTGTTATTGATGAGTGCAGTCCCATTACATGGAATCCGC